ATTTTCATATTTCTCTTTTATTAGTGTAGATTGTTGTGTCGTGCTACATTTCTATAAATGCTAAGGTAAAATACCTTGGTATTTTATACCTTCTGTCTTCACTCAAATTCATGTTCATACTGATTTGCCATTAGGAGACTAGAATGAAAAACTAAATCAGAGAGAGAGAGAACACATATAAATGGAGATTAGGAACCCCATTTTCTTACCTCTTCCCCAAACACTTATATTTGAAGTCTAGGGTGGGTGTCTCACCTTTAAAGAATCCTCCTCTATCAAATATTGTTTATCTAATTGCTGCCAAAGTCTCTGAGGCCCTGAAGTCTAAAAAAGGGACAGCTACTCCTCACCATGGCTGCCCATAGGGGAAGAATGACTCAGGGCCAGTCCTGCTCCCTAGGCAAGCTACTGAGATCCTTCAGCATTCTGTCACTGCCAGGAACAAAGGTCCCACACAGCAAGTGTTTTAGAGAGGAATCTGTGGCCTCCTGCCCACTTTTAGTCTTTATTTTATTGCACATATGCACCAACACCACCAATTCCAGCAGTCTTAAGTCTGATGCCACATTCTGCTCAGTATCACACTCCATCCACTGCTGGTCCATGTTCCTTGTAGTTATTTTTCTCTTCTGTTTAGATGTTCTTGAAGAAAATGCAGTACGTAACAGAAGCAAATCTGTTTTTGACACGTGAATGTAAAATTATATTATGCTAAAAATGTGAAGCTATGACTCACTCTCATTGCCAGAATGAAAAACAATTATGATTGAGTAATGGCTAGTGATATTTCTGCTAAATAACCTATCTCCCTTTAGCACTCAATTACATGAGAAAACTGCATTCTTTTCTATCTTTAAGTATTCTTTCAAGTTGTATCTGAAATAATAGTAAAAGCCCTGAATTATGTTTTACATTAGAGTTCTAAAGAGTGCTTGGTGTAAAAAGAATAAAAGAAAAAAAGCCATCCTTCTCAAAAGTCAGGCCAACTTATTTTTAGCTTGAATATGCAAATTGTCCTTTGGGAATAGCCTTAGAATTTAAAGTATATTAGAGAAAACCCCATCAGTCTACCTATAATTAAGATGTTAGCTGATGTTTCTCTTTATTCTGTTTTTAGATTGTCCTTCAGAATGTGTGAATGTGAAATGCATTCAGAAAAAAAATGGATGGATTACCCAACAAATGATACTCTCTCTATACACATACAAAACCTAATTCCCTTTTCTTTTGTCTGTATTTTTTTTATATATTTCTCTGCATATGTACATTTTTACTACATTATGTAGCAATATAATGTTATAACTTTTTTGAAGAAACTTTATGATAATTATATTTTGTACTCATATATCAGAAAATATGAACACCATATATAACATATGCTTCATTCTTCATTAAGACTTACCTTTGATTTATATTGTGCCTCATACTTCATAAAGTATAAGAAAAGTTTGCCTAAAAATATAGTCTATGGCCCAACAAGTATAGCTCAGCGGTTGAGCATCAACCTAGGAACCGAGAGGCCACCAGTTCGATTCCTGATCAGGGCACATGCCAGGATTGCAGGTTCGATCCCTAGTGGGGGTTGTGCAGGAGGTAGCTGATCGATCAATGTTTCTATCTCTCTATTCCTCTTCCTTCCTCTCTCTCTAAAAAAATCAATAAAAATATATTTTTTAAATAGTCTATGACTTCAATTAGGGGTCCCAAGCTATTTTTATATATTATTTTTTTCTTACTCAAAAGTAATCTCTTTAGACACAGATATCTGCCACATCTATTTCATCTTTATATCCCATGAAAAAGCCCAAAATAGGACATATAATAAATTTTCACTAAATTCAGTGTTTCTTTCTCACAACCCAAGAAACTAAGTTTGTATAACAACAAAATGTTCCAAAACCTCCTAATCTAAGTTAATATTTTTTATTATAATTTATTAAAAAGGTGAAGTTGTATAAGTCATTCTTTCCGTCCTCATTTTATTCTCTTTTGATTCACTTAGGAAAAGCCTATTCAATTTTTAGCTTTAAAACGTTATGAAATATGTATTTAAATTGTAAACACATAAAAATATTTAACCTTACAAGTGATAAATGCAAAACTGAACAACAGTAACTCTTTTGTGCTAATTAAAATAGCCAAAAATTATTAAAATTGTGATTTCCAGTGCTGATGAAATTGTGGAAAAGTAACATAAAACTCAGAACCTTTTTGGAAAGCAATTAAGAAATATTTGCAGAGGTGGTTATTCTTAATAGCAAAAATTTGGAAATTGCCTAAGTATTTAACAATTCGTGACAGATTAAACAGGTTCAAACCTAACTTTGGTAGATGATAATTCAACTATTCACAAGACAATCATGAATAGTGTGTGAAAACTAATGTGTAATGTAAAATAATAATTAAAAAAAAATAGATCAGACTATGTAATCAGCTGACAATTGCTTAAAATTTATAAGCATACATTAAAAGAGACTAAAAGGAAACAGGACAAAATGAAAATTTTTATAGGGTGAGGGAATTATGGGTACATTTTTATTTGTTTTCTTTTATGTTAAAATATTATTTTTAAAATGTATAAAATTAAGGAAAAAAGGGATCAAGTTTTAGTCCTTCAATGTCCATATATTAAGGTAGATGTTACGAAGATACCTAAGCAATGCTTCTCTTCCTTGCTTTAAAATCTCAGCATGTATTTTGTCTAGAATACCAGGACCAAAGGTTAGTACAAGTAAAACAAGTATAATAATTTGATACATGCGTTTTCTTGAAATTATAAACTATTATAATTTTTTTAATATCCCACTGGTTTTGACCGAAAATAATTTTTTTTGTCCATAGTATAATATGCTACAATATATCTTTATAACTAATGAATAAATTATGTTTGTGATTCTTGTTAGCATTACAAATTCAGGATATGATTGTCTAAAACCTATATTCTGGTACATTTAAATAACAAGAGGATGTCCAAGTTTCAAATGTGACTGGTCATTTGACACAACATGAGCATATTAAAACATAGGCTATGTCCATACTGCCTAAATTTTACATACTATTTACACAACCTACTAAAAATGCTGGGCTTTCCCATTTATTATTATTATTATTATTATTATTATTATTATTATTATATCATTGCTACTATGGTTATTCTTTCAAAGTCTAAATAAAGTTTGTATTGTTTCCTGGTAATATCTCCTTTACATTCAACCATGAGTTTGGACATTAGCGCATCCTGTTGTAGTCTTTGAAGAAAACAGACTGGGTAGCTCTTTTTCTGGTTGCACAGTAAAATGATAGTCCTCTTTCAGGGTGGATTCTATTTCTAAGCTCTTGCCCTTTTGATTTACAAAGGGTCTATCTAAAATTTCCCTATAATGGCCAATGTTATTCCAAGTCAGCAGTTTGCCATTTTAGCAAGGAAAGTGCAAGAGTTATGATTATAGTGTAACTTGATATAGGAAGCAGACTTTCTTCCAGGAAGTTAAGACTTTCACAATTATAATAATCCAGTATAATAGTAAAACATTTTTTTTTCTAGAAAAATACCATAACTTCACATTACTTAGTTTATCTGATAGATGTACATAAATCATCTTTGTAAGTAATATTTAATTCAGGTTTCTATACATCCTGAAAAAGCATTTATAAATGAGAAGTATAAACTGACTGATAATGGAGATAGAATATTCATCTACTCTCTCCCGACCTGCGGATGCACTCCCTCACTCAGCGATACATCATATGGTTAAGAGCAAGGTCTCTTATGCCAGATCATGAGAGTTCCAACTGTGGTTGTGGTTGTGTAAATCTGAAAAAATTATTTAACCTTTCTGTGCTTTACTTTGTTCATCTGATAGGTAGAGATAAAGACAGCACTTACAACATAGAAATTTGTGATAATTGAGTTAGTAAATGTAAAGTTTCTGGCACTTAAATGTTATTATTATGATGATCATTAATGTACATATCTTCATACATGTACATGTTCATGTGTATATTTGCTGAGAGCACCAATATTAAAATGACACAATCCTGACTTTAAAAACATGCTTAAAAATCAACTAAATTTGCTGTGAAACTACAACTAATCTAAGGATGAAATCTGTGTGTGTTTTTTAAATTAACTAAGAAGCAATCTTACACCCCTCAGTGGAAGAAGAAAGTGGTCCAATCATTGGAGCACATAATCAAGGGCTTTGAAAATGTTTTTAAAAGAAAATGAAGTTCTAGTTGCTCTACGTTGGAGCCACATGGAAGCACTGAAAGCCAGGGTATCTCTCCTTTGCTCCAGGGCCTTTCCAAGGCACTGCTCCTCCTTGGTAAACATTTGCTGGCTCAGCATCTGAAAGGACTGGTGTGCATCATCATCTTTCTGAAATGGAATGCTTTCTAGCATAATAGCCATCATCTTTCCCCCAAATTCCTATCATTCACTGTGACGAGAGCCATAAGTCTGAATGCTTCATTCTAATTATTTTTACAGTGAAATTGGAAAGAGAAAACAAAGCCATTTTTACTTTTTACTTTTGTATCAAATGTGTCTAAATGAATTAAGTAGACGTGTTTGTTCTTCACAATTTAGATTTGGAAATGCTCATTTGATTAAGTCTAATTATATAATGATTTAGTCTATATTTTCCTGAACTGACTAAAGACTTAAAAGTCTTATGTTTTCAGATGTCTTTTACACATGCAACAAATACTTATTTGTTGCCTGCAATGTACCCAGTACCATGGGAGATGCTCATTTCACATTGATAAGTTGCTTTTGCTTTCTTAAAGGAGAAAAGATTGAACAAAGGAAATTAGCCCATTTTATCCTTGGTGCTTAGCACATGGAATTTTGAACCAAATAAGCTAACTTGTTTTTACACTGGTGGACACTTACTTTCTATCTACACTTAGAGCATGTTGAATCACCATATCTTCCAATGTTCTATATAATGTGCTGGTTTTGTCTATGGTATTTAGTAGTACCTATTTTTTATTTTGAGGGTGAGCCCGGGTTGCCTGGAGCAGTGGGACAGAACGGAATACCAGGGCCAAAGGTCAGTACAAATAAAACTTAAGTAAGATTATTTGAGACATGAGTTTTCATGAAATCATAAATTATTACAATTTTTAAAAATATCTCCTTGGTTTTACCTATTTATTATTGTTGTTTTTTGTTTTTTGTTTTGTCAATAGTATAATATGCTACAGTACAGAACTTTGCGACTAATGAATAAATTATGCTTGTGATTCTTGTTAGCATTACACATACAGGATAAAATCATCTAAAACCTATATTCTGGTGAAAACCGGTTTGGCTCAGTGGATAGAGAGAATCCCGGGTTTGATTCTGGTCAAGGGCATGTACCTTGGTTGCGGACACATCCCCAGTGGGGGGTGTGCAGGAGGCAGCTGATCGATGTTTCCCTCTTATCGATGTTTCTGACTATCTCTTTTCCTCTCTGTAAAAAATCAATAAAATATATATATTTTTAAAACCTATATTTTGTGACACTTAACATGAGAAAGTCCATATTTCAGATAGTCATATCTGAAACAATAATCACCTTGTCATTTGCTACTTAATATGAGCATATTAAAACATAAGCCAGTGGTAAGATGTGTGCACATATAATACCTTAATAAAAAATGAAAAAATAAAATAAAATAAAACATAGGCCATGTCCATACTTCCTAAAATTTGTATACTATTTACATAACTTACTAACGAAGCTCTTCTCAGTGCCGCTGCTGCTTTTCCTCAAGATTTGGTGACCTCTAGCACTTACAGAGCACAACCAGTTAATCAAATGAAGAGCAGAATAAAGACGTGGCATGTTTAAAATTTAAAAATGGATGTAGTCAATTACTAAACAGGGAAAAAATGTAATGAAGATTATTTTTTTGGATTGCAAGTTTTCTTTGTTTCTTGAAGAACAAATGAATCTGTTAAATATAAAAAGATTGGTGACAGTTTAGTTTAAACCAAACAGGCAGACAAATCCCAAATCCTTTGATGATTGTACATCCCTTGAAGTACAAAACTAACGTCTAATCCTGTCAGCTGTGCTGGTATTTATCCATACTCACAGATGCCTGTCAGCTGATTGTACAGATCACGTTGCTATTGACGGGCGCTTAGGATGGACCTGAAACCTGTAGACCTGTCCTTTGTCCTGTAAGAGAGGAAAGAAAATATTCCTTCTGGTTCTACAGCCATTCTCCTGTCTTTTCCCTCTCTTGTTCTGTGCTAAAGAGGCAAGTGATAGGAGTGAATGCTCAAGGCCTGCTCTCAGTGCTATTCGTCTGTTGCCTAGCAACCCTCGGATGGATGTTGAGCGCTGAAAGGTAGTCAGAAATTCAGAAAGCCAAAGGGTCAGGCTGGCTTCCAAGGAGTGAAAATAATCTTGACTCCAAACTGACTTCTAGAGTGGGTTATAATTTTTAAAAACACAATAATCGCCTTAACCCATTTTTGAAGCCGTTGATCTCATATGGCAGCACTCACACTTTTTGTAAAGGGAATATTCACCTAAAGTGTATAATTTACTTTGGAACTCTTCCACACCATCCCTTGTCCCTTCCCGGGGGGAGGGAAAGTGAGATACTCCGCAGAGCACGGTTTTTCACTTTAGTCCTCACAGTGGCGGGGTCATCATTCTGAGGACTAGTAGAGACATTCTCCTAAACTCACTTTGATCCTGCCATTCTCGTGTTTTTTTCTGAAGGTACCGGTGCCTCCTAAAGTACACCTGATTTAGAACATGCTGGTTACCAGTAGGGTAAAGAGAGTTCATGACATTGTGAGGGGGTCCAAGTTCAGGACTGTAATTATGGTCATGATGGGAGAAGATGGAACTACACAGGGACTCAGAAACCCTGAAATAGTCCATGTGCCAGGGGCTGCTTTGAATAAAGACTTGGTGCAAGCATGTGCTCACCCACCTTACTGACTCTGAGTTTGGGCAGAATACAAAGTCCTAGGCTAAAAAACTGCCAAAGACATTAAATTGCCACCACACTGTTCTCCTTAGAGTCCCATTTTAAGAATGATAATCTTAAATATCTTCCTTCAGTCCTCTGAAAGCAAAGAGTTAAGATTTTATTTTATATTGATATCCATACCAAATTCTCCAGGAAACTCATATTATTGTTTGTTTTCATATAGCAACTATATATTGCCCCCCAAAAGGGTCACATAATTTATCGACTATGTTCAATATCTAATTTTGTTTGGTATTTTTAATTAGGTGTTAATAATATTGTTTAATTTTTAAAAATTACAATTTAATATGTCACTCAATCTTTGTTCTTTTGTTCTCCTCCAGGGAGAACCTGGAGAGCGAGGAGAAAAGGTGAGGTTTATTCTACCCACATTTATCTTCCTCCCCCTCCCAAAGAGGTACCACACTGACTGTATGAAGAATGGACAGATGAATAGATTTAGATATAGATATATAGATGTATAGCTATAGATATAATGGCCACTGTTTTATTTATTTTTTTCATAATTAATTAGTGCAAGGAGAAAATTGTGTAATTCTCATGTATAGAGAGAAATGTTTAAAGGACTTAAAGAAATGGAGGGAAAGGGAGCAAATTTAAACATTCTATATCTGGATTTTAAATGACTTTCAGAAATCCCTGGGCCTACAGAATTTCTTTTCTCCCTGCTCGCTAATGCCACTCCGGTGTTTTTCTGACCATCCACATCTCTCTACTGCTTCTTAGGTCACAGAGTTAAAGGGATACAGATGTTTACCACGGCGAATATACTGAGAGTTGCCCCACAAAGAATTCCCATAAAAACCAAAAAGAGAAACAAAAGAAGAAGAGTGCCATATGTTAAATTTCTCTTTGCTGTCCTTCCTTACTACCTTTGGGCATGTCCTGACCATTTTTAGACTCCCAGCGCATATTTGAAAGCTAACTTTCCTGGTTCTTGTGCTACCTAATAGTGTTTGAGAAGTGAGCTGTCTGCACAGGAAACCTCCAGATACTCCAAAACGCTCTTCATACGTGATCTGATCTTTCTGACAAATCAGTGTCATCACCTCTGCTCCTCAAAGAAGTACCTCTAAAGATCCAGCGAACTTTTAAATGTAACTGTAATTTGGGTTTTGAGAAACAAAAAGAACAAAAGCCACTTATTTAAATGGAAGGAGAACAAACCAGAGGGGACACTCAGACCCTCTGTCCCACATCCACTCTGGGCCTGTTTTCCTAATAAGAAAGTTAGTTTATTTGGTTTTGTTTTTTAATAAAGGGATCTCCAAGCAATTTTTTAAAGTATGCTGCCTATTAAGGTTCCTCATAACAGATTATCAGTGTATCTATGTGGCATCCAGCCAGTTCGTGGTAATTAGCTTGAAGTTAATTAGTCACCCGGTGACTCTTTTGTGTGGACACTAAGGCGAAAAAAGGGGCAGAGCCAGCACCATCCGGGCTCCTCAGACAAAGCAGCTCAGGCTCCCAGGCTGCCGTGTGGTATCTGTCACCAAAGACAAAGGCCTGAGCAGGTTTCATGCTCCTGAAACAGGAAAATAAGCTAGAGAAAAAGAAAATGTCTTTTCCCTCGCCACCCCTCCTTCTCTCAGGGAAACAGTCATCAATAGTTTCTCTCTTATTTTAAGGCCATTTTTAAGTGAGAGAAAAGTGACCTCTTCTGAAGCTAGACAGAGGGCTTATGGAGTGTGAGAACAATAATGCATTGTTGTTGCCTAGCGGCTATCATTAACAGCTTGTGCCAGAGACTGTCCTAGTTGCTTTACACACAGTACATTGTTTATTTCTTACCACCCCATAAAGTATGCTTGCCCTTATGTCACACATGAAAAATACGAGGCATAGAAAATTTCATTTTCCCAGTCAGTTTTGGAGTCGGGCTTCGTCTCTCGACTCCAAATCGACGATATTTTCACCATAACATGCTACGAGACAGAAAGAATTGAGAGTTTAAGGAAGCAAAGCATGGGTAATAAACAACTGACTTTTTTTTCCCAATACATTGCTTTGTGGATAGAAAGGAGATGTTGATGAAGGAATAGGCATAGGAAATCTCAAAAATAACCAAGAAAACATAAATTCCCCAAGTTTTGATTTTAAAAAGCAGTTTTGTAATAAAATAAAAAACATTTACTTCCCAAATGCAACACATGTAAGTACAGATAAGTCAGATATTCAGGGCACAAGTCATGAGGGCTGTCTCGTGCACTTTGGGGTCCTGAAGATTTGAGAAGGGCTTCAAGACAAGAGCAGATTTATACAGATTAAAGGGAAAGCAGGAGCCAGGGGTTCAGGTGGCAGGAGGAGGCATAGAGTGGAGAGGCAGGTGGCATATTGAGGGAATTGTCTGGAGAAAGTCTGTGTTACGGTGGAGTTTTTGGGCAGAGGAGAAAGAGGTGGAATGAAGGAAACTCTAAGTGCCAGAACAAGCTACTAGAAATCAGAGAAATTGCTGCTTTTCATTAATATCATGGAGTAATTTAAAACTGTTCAGCCATGTTCATTGTAAAAAAAAAAAAAAAAAGTGTATTTAGACCAGTGATATCGGCCAACTGCTCAAGTAGAACATTTGCAACAGATTTTAATATATGGTGCTTTTTAAAGAAAACTTAAAATAATGGAAAATGCTCTTGTATAATGTCACCAATATATTTTACATGTATCGCTTTTTCCCTCCTCTTAGGGAGATGCTGGCGAGAGTGGTCCCAAAGGTGATGCAGGAGAAAAGGTACAATGTTGACAAATACAAAAGTGTATGTGTATGAGCAAGAAATAGCATTCTGAATGTATGGAAATGGGAAGTTTTGAAAAATATATGTGAATGGTAGTATCTTTGTTTCATAAGAAAATAGAAAATTCTACAAATGTAGAAAATCTTTAAGTATGTAATATATAAAAGGTGATTATTCCTCAAGTTCCTAGCTATACATTTAAATATTTTAGACATAAAAGGGTAGGTCACAGATTTCTAAAAATCTGTAGTGAGGTTTCTAGGCTTTCAAGGAATAAAAGCACTCATTCGTGTATAAATGGCACACTCCCTTTATATGCAGATATAAAAATAGAATTTCTAAAGTGATTCTGTTTGTCCCAGTGTTAGGAGAGAACAGGTCAGAGGATTAGAGTGAGATTTTAAAAGTTTGAGAGTAAATGTCACTGATTAGATTCTCTAATGGAGTTGAAGATTTGCCTCAACTTGAAATGTACTCAATCCAGATATTTTGTCATTTCTTTTGGTTCTTTAAACCACTCTTCACAGCACAGTGGTCTTGTGGTTTATCTTCCTACTCCCTCTCTTTTTCCCTCCAACAATCTGCCTCAGTTCAGACTGGCAGACATCTCTGACATAAGGAGGATATTTTATTTTCCTTGTACTATCTGTTAAGAATGAAAGAAAAGATCTTTTTAAGAAACTGAAAATAGAATATCAGCCATATTTTAATTTAAATCAGCCTAAGTAGTTGAGTATTGAGAAGAAAAAAAAAAGAACTGAATTATTTATTTAGGCTTATAGTTCAGAATAAGAACATTCCACTTTGAAATTTATTACAATACAGATGGGTAATGGTTACTCATAAAAACATACCCATAAAAGTAAAGAGAAATTTATCTTTCTCGTTCTTATAAATATTAATATAAATATGGCATGAAGGTAGGAATGGAGTAATGTCACCCAGTAGCAGTCATGTTTGTATTCAAGAACAGACTAGCCTTTAGGGTAGGCTCTCAGTTGCTTGGAGGTTGGGGTTTCCCAGCCTCAGCACAATTGACAAGACCAGATTGTTGTCGTGGGGACTGCTGGATGTTTAGCATCCTTCCTGGCTCTGCCCACTGCATGCCAGGAGAATCCTTGAGTTGTGACCACCAAGACCATCTCAAGACGTTGCCAAATGTTCCCTAAAGACAAAATGACCCCTAATTGAGAATCACTGATGTAGGCCCATTCTCTTTACCTGTCAAATTTAAGTATCATGCTGAAATCAGATATGACATGAATATATTTAATAGTAATGAGAACTATGATATACCTCAATTATTCTCAAAGTTTCAAACCCTAGACATATAAACCTGTGTGTTATATTTAACTTTTCTTATTTTGCTTAGAAGCAGATGTTAACAAACTTTTCTTATAAAAGGCCAGAAAGTAAATATTTAGGTTTTGTGGGCCAGATGACCTCTGTCACAACTACTCAACTCTGTCATTGTAGTGTGCCAGCACCCGTAGACAGTATATACACAAATAAGTATGGCGGTGCCCTATAATTTTTTATCTTTGGATGCTGAAATCTTAATTTGTGAAATTTTCATGTGCTGAGAAGTGTTATTGTTGATTTTTTAAATCTATATAAAATATAAAATCCCTTCTTAGCTCATGGGCTATACAGGAACAGGTGGGTAGCTGATCTGGCCCTGGGGCCATAGTTGCCACCTCAGTTTAAAGACAGGAAATCTAAACAGAGAGCAGTTTTTTCAAGTAAAGGAAAAAAAAGTATGCCAAGTGAACTTACGTTCAGAATTTTATGCTTCAGAAGATATATACTTTTAAAGCTTCATTTTTTTAATATAGGCCAATAATTGTTTCTTTAATCACACATTTTTTAAAATGTAATTTTCCAATAGCAAAGTAACTTTTTTCTTTTACAAGACCATGTTCATCTCAAAGGAATACTGTTCTTACTCTTTATATTAATGCAAATCGTTTACCATACTGACTCACACATAGTAAACTCTCAATAAATGTTAGCTTTCTTACCACATGGAAATTGAAATCAACTAGATTGGTTGTTTTTCTTTTTTATCAAGAAGTTTTATTAGTCAACTGAAATTAAGTGCAAGAAATGCTTCAGTTAAAACGGAAATCATTTCTATAAACTTGCAATGGGTCTAAACAGGGAATTGTAAATAGGAATCTGCAGCATATAATATGTAATCTGACCTGCAGCATTCATCCCCGAGAATGCTGTAATTGGAATATAATTTTTGATGTGTTTTTTAAACATTTCCTGCTTCTGTCACATAATTTGTTTCCAGCATGTTGGAAACACTCTTCTCATGGCTTTTGGGTTTAGTATGTGAAACTAATTCATCATCTACAAAGTTGGAGATGTAAAATCAAAAAATGCTTCGTTTCTGCCATTGATGTAGTAAAAATTACGTCATGGACGGATTCACTTTAATAGGATTTTTTTTTCCCTTTTGATCCAACTCGGTGCCTTTGGATGGTAAAGCAATCTAAGCCTTTCCAGACTGGTCATCTGGAAACGCTGTGCAACTATAAAACCACTGGGCTGGGCGTCCTGTGGCCAGCGAGCGTGGTGCACTCCAGGTTTAAGAGTGACCTGCCAGAGACCGGCTTCAGTCATGGGTGGGGTTAGTCTGGAAGGGCTGCGTTCTGCTCTTTGGAATGCTGATTCCACCAACAAAAGTAGAAGTGGGTTTCTTCTCTGTTTCCCTCCACCTGATAGTAGCTGTTTGCAGTGCGGCGTGCTGGATGGTTTTGGCGGTGCCACTCCTTTGTTCATAATAGTGTCTGTGGGTGCAGAAGCTCCGCCTTCGTTTTCTTGGTATTACTTCCTGTGCCTTCGTTCTCTTTGCTCCCCCATGTCCATTCCCGTAAATACTCTGCCTTCTCGGTGTATGACTGCATAACGTCTGTGATTTCCATCCCTTGAGCTTCTGCAGAAGCCACGCTCCTATTGAGAACCACCAAGCACATTGTCTTCTTTTCTTAAAACCACAGGTAAAGGGCTCTCTCGGTGCGTGCTCCCACCCCAACCGATGCAGAGTCTTCTCTAACCTGGCACCTCTGATTCCTATAGTGTAGGACAGCCAGGCGTCTTCAAACTATGGCCTGTGGGCCACATGCGGCCCGCAGAGGAGTCTGATCCGGCCCGCCAGGTTTTTTGGGCAGTGAGCGCAGCCGAGGTGTTACAGTAGGAATTAGTAGTTCATATAGTCTGGCCCTCCAGCTCTCTGAGGGACCGTGATCTGGCCCCCACTTTAAAAAGTTTGAGGACCCCTGCATCCTATTCTTCAGGCCACTGAAACGTGAATTTATGTCATTTCCCTGGGTCAGCCTTCCAGTCTCCTCTGAATTGGTTATGTTACCTACTGCATGCTCCCACAGCCCTCCTTATGATCCCTTTCAGAACCTGTATCAGAATTTATTTAATTCTTTGTTTAGTTGGACATCCAGCTCCCTGAAAAATAAAACACAAACCATGAAAAAACTATATGATACCAAATTGTTCTAGCCCCAGTCCAAGTTCCTGGAAGAGAACAAATAGTTATTGAATGAATAATCTTTAGAAAAAAAATGTGTTACTTTAAGCTGTTTCTTACTTCCACTGAATGGGAGAACTTCTGCCTGTGCTGTGCATTTGTGTGTCGTGTCTTCTGTGTATTTACAGTGACACAGACTTTTCCAAACCTGAGAATCTCTTCCTATGCCAGATTTATTTAAGTGAAAAGAAAGTATCTTTGATGCTTTCAATCAGCGATGTCTTCGTGCACATGTGTAAGTGAATAAGGGGATTGCAACTACTTGGTTCACCGTTGTCACCCAGCTCCTAGCATCCCTGCATCCAGAACATGGCGGGCACATAATTGGTGCTCAATAGATAATTAGTAAATGAAGGACAGAAATATGGCCACATTCACTTTATATACCCACATAGACTTTGTTAGCACATACACAAAATTATACACTGAGTTTTGTGTTTGAAAATAATCATAACTAAAAATAACTCTATGTGCTTGAATGAAAAATTCTGAAGTCAAATTCATTTACCTCGAGTATGTTCTGAAAGTATTTTCCCCATTTATGACTTATCCCATGCAAACTTCTGTTTTTAAACCAACCAGTTTATAAAGCTAAGAGTATACTTAAGGCACAGGTTCTTTTTCCCTACTTTAATCCTGTATTCATTTTCACTGTTTGTGGAATGAGGATTATAAACACTGACTTTTCTTCCCACTACTTGTGGCATTATCCTTTAAAATGTTTAACTTATGAGTGTCTTCCAGCAGTTACCTTGCCACTTAAAAGATATAAAAATTCCTTGAGATTTCACAGTTCTAAATTTTTAAGAGAGTTAAAATATCACTCATAGTTGTCCAACAAACGAAACTGCTCCAATTCCCACAAATAAATCAGTCTTTTGGAGAACTGTCATTTTTGTTTTTCCGTCTACTTTCTGAGAACTAAATCTAGTCTTTATCTCATTAGCCGGTTATCTAGCCACTCTCTGTTAAAATACTGAAAAAATGTATTTAACCTACAGTTAATATAAACAACTGTGCTTATAGTTTACTATAACCTTTATGTCCTGTTGTCAAAAAGAAATAAACCAATAATTCTCTTATGACAATAGAATTTAGGAACTCAAAAATTCACAGTATCTAGTTGCTTCAATTTCCTCATCTATTAAATGGATATAGTAATATCTGCCCTAAATCATGGGAGTTTTTTGAGGTATAAATGAGATGAAAGAGGAGACTTAGCCAAGTCAAAACTGCTTTTATGAATACAAAGGTCTTGTGCAAAATCTTGCAAAATTGATTCCTTTGTGTTGATAGCTTTTAGACTTGATTTAGTAGAAATATATAAGTATTAGTAGCCATATTTATTTCACTTCCCATTAGAACTCAACTAATTGTTAATGATTGGGAAGAAAAATCATTGTCATTCTATAATATTTGGAGGCTTCTTAATGTTTCATTATGGTTTAATCTTTTTCCTTGGCAATACTAAGTATAGATGTCAAAGAAATTCACATATATATCTCATTTTCTTCAATAAGCTAATTTATTATTTCCATCTCCTTCCTAAGTTTTATTTTTCCTTCCTAAAGTTTTTTCATTTTGGTTCTTAACTTGTGATTTGCTTAAAATATTCTGTTTTGAGATTTGTTCATTCACCATATGTGTAACAAACATATACTATGGGCCAGCCACTGAATAAAAATAGACACTGATTATCTCATGGAGAGACACAAAAACAAACAAACAAACAAAAAACCCAGCAGAAAACATAAATACCTAATTATGAAGTGTGTTATGCTGCATGGTCTGATTATATGTGAGGGACATGTGTCTAAGTTGGTTGGTTGGTTGGTGAATGAAGGATTATTTGTGGCAAAGCCACTTCAGCCAAGATCCAAAGGAAGAGAAGGTGCCAGCCACAGGAAGAGGTGAGAGGGGGTAAGAATAAGAGGGGGGGACAAGTGCCCCGTCTGCACATGCAGAGGCCTGGGGCCTTCTCTCCCTGAATGAGACTGGTGAGCAGCTTCCTAAATCGAGAACAAGGAAATAGACCCCCAGAGCTCCTTGCGCACTTGCACAGATAGAACAGCTGAGGAAATCCCAATATGTGCCTTTCTCCTTGTGGCTATTTCTATTTTCTTAACAGTCTCAAAAAAACTAAGTTTTCTCCCTTTATGTTCATGGAACAGAGGGCTAGAAGGAGCTTGAAAATGCCGGCCGTTTGCTGTCCTCATTTCAGAAAAAGCAGCATTCTCAGCTCTCCTCCACAGTCATTTCCACTCATCCCTATCTGCTCATTTATAACATATTTGCCCTCGAAATGTAGACGCCCTCTGTGAAATCCGGGTGGAATACAGTGCCTTTTAGAAAACCTGATTCTATCTCAACATTTTTCTCTCAGATCTTCCATGTGTCCCTGCCACCCACAAGCCATTCATCATCCTGTAACTTTCCGGTGACTGGGTTACAATGAAATAAGTGTAAAGCTGGGAAAAACGTGTAAATAAAGCTGGGACAGTGCTTCAAGGGGAGACAAGCTGACCTGCTGCGTGGCTTTTTCCAACACAGCATCATTAACCCTTGACTTCATCTGTTGAACCCTGACTTTCTGAAGACTGGAAGGGTCAGGGGACTCCCACTAGATGATAGCCACTGACATTAATAAATTCCAGAAACAGAGGAAACCACAATTCCAGATCCCCAAAATTACAATGTATTGCTTTAGAATACAATTTCAGCAGTAGATCAGGGAAAAAGGCCCTTATTTATATATTTATAATTTCAAAAAATATAATGGTCCTTACATATTTTGCATTCAAAGTAAATCCATGTTTTCAGAAAGTACATTGTTTATCTAGGAAATTGCTGACATTTTAACAGCTGAAAGATTGATACAAAGTCTTAGGGAGCCTAGTTAAGCACATTAGTCATGGGGTTCCCTTGAGTGCCCCTGTCGATAATGGCTCTCTGTGTGTTTGTGTGTTTCCTGTTCCCATAATTTGTGGAATAATCTCTCGTGGGTTTCATTTTAGGGTGACCCTGGATCATCTGCTGCAGGAATTAAGGTAACGCTAACCATACAAGAGTGTGTACCCCAGGAGTTATAGTTTTGATTTTTATAAGCCTCTGCTTTCTCTTCTCTTTTACCACCATTGATGGTTATAACTCTGTTCCGATTCTCCTGCAATGAACAGCCCCCAAATACAACAGGAAGTATCTGCTGGAAATCTGATAAAAGCTTAATAAGAGGTCTGGCCTTCTCTTCCCTTTCTGATTGGTTTTAATGGAAATGTGGATTTGTATGTGAGTTTTAGGTATAGTCACAGAAAGAAAAAAAAGTGTTTCCTGTGTTTAGTGAGATGTAGAGTAACAGAATAAAAAAAAATGAAATATATGTGATCAAGGAGGCTGGGCCATCTCTGTGAGAGTGTTCAGAGGCTTAAAGGTTTTGGAAAATTCTTATAAGACTGTTCTTTTCATCTTTGGCTTTCTTTGGCCAGGGAGAACCTGGAGAATCTGGTCGTCCAGGGCAAAAGGTAATTAATATCATCTTTATTTTAGTGTGATCTTTGCACTATTTCACCATTTTATATCGACTGTCCGCTGTGTGGTATGAGGATGACTATTACAAAATGGGGTGGTTTCTGTGTTTTGCATGCTGAGTGTTGTTGATTGTTTTGTATTTTAAAAGGGATAATGCTGTCACAAAAGTGAAAACACACTGTGTACATGTAAAAGGATGCCTAATGAGCTAAAGTCTACATGTGCTGAGCTGTTTGAAACTGACAAAGACCAGTTGGGTTGGAATGCAACAATTTACCTTGCATGTTTAAAGACACTCTGCATGCTTCTATCTTTCATGAGAAGAAATGAATATTTACTAAATGGTTTCAATAGGGAAGGATGGACAATTTCTTTTTAAATTATATTCCTTTTTCTCTCATTTCAAATACTACCCTACTGACAATTTTATGAGAATAATATCTATCTGTGCATTGACTGTTATATTATGCAAAGAGGTTTGTTCATAAGCTGAAATTTAATTACAGACACTAGCCAAACCACTTTAACCATTCTCTAGATATAGACATAATTTTATGTTTATCATGTGTGCTTCACTTCAGTGATGAATGAGAGAACATGCAGTGAATGTGTTGAGACCCATATTCTCGTTTGAGTCTGAGGCAGGAAACAACTGTTAGCAGTTTATTGTCACAGCATCTGGCCATCAGTGCCCAGTGCAGTCAGATTTGCGATAACAGATGTATTACAGCTAACAAGTAAATGTGAGTTCCCCATTAGGTTAAATCTCTGAAGAGCATGACTCTGTCTTTGTCTAGCAGTAGCTGATGTGGGGGGCGGGAGGGGGGGAATAAGAGGGACATGAATAAAAATATAGAATTTATTTCATTAGTGTAAAGGGAAAGAGAGAATCAATGCCCTTGTAGTAGTTTGGAACCCTAAAACATGATAAAATAATGTTCCCACATTCTTGAAGCCACTGAGAGGATCATTGCTTTGTTTTAAACAGGTGGGTTAAAGTAATTTTTGAGGTCTTTCAAATTCTTTAGATGTTTCTCTACTTTAAAAATAGATTTTCCCCTAGAAACTAAGAATCTAAGAGTAATGATTCATCAGGCCCAGTTTCAGGCAAAGTTGAAACTTTTCCAAAGAGCCCAGCAGAACTCTGAAAATTTTGCTATTCAGTTCCTGAGATTTCCTCCTGATTCTTTACTTGAGAAATTTGAAATTAGTAATGCCACCCGCCCTAATAGAGATCCATGGTCTGCTTTGATTTGAGAGAAAAAAAAAAAAAAAGCAAAAACTAATCTTCTCCGATGATCTAATTTTAGGGCCCTTAGTAAAAATTAAAGGCTAATTTTAAGCTGCTTTTCAATTCTGTGATGTCTCTAAAAAGAAATCTCTACAACCATTAATATCTTTTTTTCACTTTTTAATTTTAATTTTTTTCCATTTTTATAGAATTTATTGGGAAGACACTAGTAAATGAAATTATACAGGTTTCAGGTGCACAATTCCATAACACCTTATCTGTACACTATATGGTGTGTTCACCACCCCAAGTCAGGTCTCCTCCAATCACCGTTATCCTCCCTATACCCTTCTCCACCTCCCTCAACCCCCCTCGATCCCCCTGCAATTACCATACTATTGTTCATGTTCATGAGTTTTTTCTCTTTTGCTCAATCCCTCCACACTCCCACCAAACTCCCTCCACCCAGCTAATGAAAGTCAAAATTGATTTTTAGTTACTTGATAAAACATTGCCTTATCATAAATATTTAGAAATATACTTTAGATTCATTTCTGGAAGTTTGTAGATTTGCATATGGAAACATTGAATTTCTTTTGTATTTCATCAAGCACCTGTTTTAAATTATAATGAGGAAAGTTTTCAACTAGCCTGAATGAACATGTGCCCTGAAATGAGCAGCATCTTTTCCATTAATATGTAGGCCAGATTCTACCCTTCGATGTAATCTCACTTTCCCACAATATTTATGATTTCCTTTGTCTAATGTCTGGCTTTAGCAATACTTACCCCAACATTAATTTAAAAGTAGAGTATTTCTATGCTGGCTTGCTTACTTAGATTAGAAAATGGCAAACAGAAATGACTACAAAATCAATTCAAGAGATCTCTCATGGCCCTTTTCTCACCACTGCAAAACTGTGCTGTGGGTTCAGTGGCACTGAAGCTCTTGCATGAGGGAGATTCCCAGAAAAATAGAAGATGAAAAGCCCCTTGGTTAGTTTCCACTGTCTGGTATTTTGTTCTTTAGAGTGTGTGATTGATAGATGAGTTAGAATGTGTATATATGTTTATGAAGTGTGTAGATATTGTGTTTCACCACATAATTCTTTCCTTACCAACTTCTCCATGTAAATAAAGATACTTGATCTCCCATTGGAAGGGACTCTCACAGTTAAATTCTATCAGGAAGGACAGTGGACCATCACAGGGACATGGGGTAAAGGCAGTGTTCTTTGACAGTAGACAGAGACCACCTAAGGTGTAGGGAAAAGAGGGAAAGGGAAAGGAAAGCATGAGTATTATATAATGTATCTGTGTGAATTTCAGTCTACTTAGACAAGTATTCTTTAAATGGAATAACAAACTAATTCTTAATTATGATTTAGATCTCACCTTGAGCAATGATTGCCCAAGATCTCAACTCAGAGAAGCTTCTGAACCAAAGAGTAGGCAAGAATAGAGGAATTAACTAAATTACTCTCTTAATTTGAAGATAAGCCTTAATGGTATAAAGATAGAAATTTCATATAGGAAGAAATACCTTCCTAAGACTGTTAAGAGATGTTCCACAAATGATAACATTAAATATTTTATAATCTTTACTTTAATTAAGCATAAATTTGGAAATGTTAAATTTATGAAAATACAACTATGAAATATTAATTTCTGAAACATTTGTTTATTAATATATACATTTATAACCTCTATATATGCATACATACACATATAATGTAGGGAACAACTATGTGCTCAAAGTCTCTAAGTATTCAATCTATATTACAAAATATTCCATAATGTCTTATAAGTCATTCTCATTGTTAGAAAACATGGGTGTGTGTCTATATATGCATGTGTATATAAATATCTTTCTTCAAATTAGTCATACAATCCTTTTAATTTGGCCAGAGGGAAGGGTGTGGTGAGAACTGTTGGGAAACAGTATTAAAACCTATACATTTTCACATGTATTTCAAATGTCCTGAGATTTAGGAAACTTTTCTAAAAAAATTTATAAAAAAGAATTCTAAATTTGTCACCAATAGATTTAATTTTTTTGGTTGTAAACTCTACTGCAATGTAGTATTTTTCAGGGCTTTTTTTTTTTTTTTTTTTTTTTTTTTTAGTAAAAGAGTATTGCCCAGCCAGTGTGGCCCAGTAATTGAGAGTTGGCCTATGAACCAGAGATCACAGTTTGATTCCCAATCAGGGCACTTGCTCAATCCCCAGTGTGGGGCATGCAGGAAGCAACCAATCAGTGATTCTCATCATTAATATTTCTCTCTCTCTCTCTCCCTCTCCCTTCCTCTCTGAAATCAATATTTTTTAAAATAAAGTAAATGAGAATCTTCAGTAAGATATGGGTACAACCCCCTTTTACTAGATCTTCCTAGATTTATTGATTGGGGGGAAAAATAAAATCAAATGTATAATGTGGTATCTGTATGAACTATAATTTACTTGAATGAAATAGAAAATTCATAGTAATCATCCTTTCTTCTCTTGCTTAATCTCATCTTAGTGTTCTTGTTCACAATGCAAACTTCCATTTGTAGTTTCATACATAATAGCTTTTCTTTTGCATTCCTGAAGCACCTTTGACCTAAACCATCAGGAACGTCATTGTCCTTCCTATGTCTAACCATACAGCTTAATCAACAGAAGATGAAATAATTTATGATGATAATAGAGCAAATTATGACTCTTCATAATTTTAAAGTAATAATATTAAAAAATGAAATGTCTGATTGTTCTTAATATATTTTCTTTGAAATAAAAGTTGTTAAAACATTTAGATGAAAAGAAATACCTCCCTCTACCAATTTATTAGTTTGATACTCCTGTCTCTTAGTGTAGCTATCTTCCCACTGACTGACTATCATGAAAATGTGTAACCCCTTTACTTTCCACAAATAGTCACCTCAATCCAGCACAAGATGGACTTTCATTTTCTCCAGCAATTCCATTATGCTCCTTTAGTGGAATTCAGGAGATTTTCTAAGCAATGTAACCTCTTGTCACTATACTTTGTACTTAAAATAATGTAGACCATTCTGTGAAAATGAGAAGGTTAATCATGACTCCAGTGTGCTCACCCCAAATCTGCCACTTAATCTCAGACCTGTACTCAGGAACAGCTGCATGGTACCATTAGCCCTAAATTGTTAGGCAGGGTTACCCAGACTCAACAATTGTCAGAAATATGGGCTGGAGTTAAGTATAATATTAACCATGCATTTATCTTCTCATCATTCAGGAATGGAAAAGAAACCTTACTATACTTTTAAGTGAGCACGACTTTTAATGTATATTGTGTTGATGTAACCATCTGTTCACACAGCCAACTCTTGATTATTTGAGGCAAGAGAGCACTGGACTCGGAGGCGTTATTCAGATGCATGCATAATCCTCACTTCGGCAGAGCTTCCGCCTCCCTAGCAAACCATTTACCAGAAATTAGTAAAATGTGGGAGCTCGTTCTCCTTGTACTTCTCTTTATTCCTTCTGGTAGAGATGCCTTATGAGCAGAGAACTAAAGCCACTCACAGCAGGGAAATCTGCAAAAGGGTCAACCAATTTTGAATCAAGAGTTGACTGAACTATGTACTCTCACCAAGTTCTTGAAACGAGACAGTGTCTATGTAGATGGCAAGTATTCAGCGAGGAACATTTGCCATGCTTTTCTCCAGAGACTGTGGCTGAGTGGATATTGTTCTATAATGTTGTGTGATTTTCCTATGTAGGGTGAACCAGGGCTTCCTGGGCTTCCTGGACTTCCGGGGATAAAGGTAAATACTGCACTGACAGTCTTGGCTTCATAGAACTGCAACTGAGTCACAGAAATTGCAGGAAGATAGGGAGGGGGTGAAAACTAAAAACATAGTGCTGTTCTTTAAATACCTCTCAACCACTTAAATTTTTTAATTAAAAATTAAGCATAGGTATTTTTAAAATTTCCTATCACTCTCTGGACTATTTATGTAACCTGATATGCCCCTAACTTAAATAAATGTAAAAGCCACTTTGTTTGAAATCATAGGAATTCTTTAAAGTCTAGAATGTCTACATTCACATTTAGCTTTATTCTTAAGATCTTAACATATTTTTTTTTTACCAGAATTATAGTGTTCACATCCCCATAAATCTAACACTTAGGCAGCTGTTTTATGATATGCTCAATATAACAATCCCTCTAAAATGGTTTGTGCTTCCACTTCCTGTCAATAATTCTCACTAAAAAACACAAGTCATTTTATTAAACTACTTTGACTCATACAGTATACTGTTCCCATAAATTTTTAATGTATCTTTTGAAATAATTGCTTAAAGCTGAGTTTAAAATGTTTACATATTTTTAAACCATCTAAAAATGTTAAGAAATATTTTTAATTGTTCAAAAATTTTCACATGGCAACAGAGAAGGCTTAAAAGTTCTGCTTTAGCTAAAGTTTCTCCTTTAAAATCAGCTTCTTATTTTAAAGTTTTTGTGTGTTTTTTTTTTTTAATTCCAGAACTGTTTGATAGGAAAATACAATGCAAGTGGATTTTTCCTTACATTTTTCTCACTTTATAGAGTTTTCTTCTTTTTAAATATATATATATATATATTTTGCTATCACATTATAGAGTTTTAAATTAATCTCCAGTATGTGTTAGACCATTCTAAAATTAATATTTCTAGTTTCACTGTGCAGATTGTGTATACTGTTTTATAAATGTTGTATCTGAAGTGTGTTAGATGAAATGATATGATTTTAGAATAAATATGTTAAATTATGGAGTTCCCAGACATGATCTGGTATCATACACAATATTTTATGGGTATATTTGGAGTAGTTAACAGATGTGAAAGCTATCTTTCCAGTTTAGCACTCAGACTTTGGTTTTTGTTTGATGGTTTCAGATTAGTTTATTGAAGTTCAGATGTGTATTTTTAATGTATTATTAATCTTGGTTTCTTCCTTGGAAATATATGCTCTATGACAATAGTTTACTAAAAAGCCAAATTATTTCCTTAACATTTGATATTTAGCAAAAATAACTTAATAAATGAATATGTGATTTCATACTATAGAGTTAATTTATGGCAGTTCCTTAGTAGTTCTTCACACATTTTTTAAAAAGGTGCTTTTTAAAAATGATTGAAAGGTCATAGATTTTTTTTTTAAATAAACTTAAGAAAGTTAGAGTCAGTATTAATTATAAAAACCTTGTAGCAATATAAGTAAAAGAAAGGCATTTAAAAGGAGTGTTATGAGAGAAACCAAGATGGCGGCATAGGTAGACAACTAAACTGCTGCCTCACACAACAATTTCAAAACTACAACTAAAAGACAAAACGAACATCATCCAGAATCACAGGAAGGCTGGCTGAATAGATATTCTATAATTAGAAGGAAAGAGAAAAGCACACTGAGACTCAGAGGAGCTTCAGGAGGCAGAGGTACTGAGATGCACATGAGGAGAGGACTGGCACCTGAGTGCGCAGCTGGCTTTCTCAAGTGGGGGAGAGACAAAAGCTCCTGACTGCGCTGAACTCCAGTTCCAGGCGAGACTCTGGGGACCCAGACTCATACAGGGAGAAATTGGACTGTCAGGAAAGAGAAAAGCACACTGAGACTCAGAGGGACTGTGGAAGGCAGAGGTACTGAGGCATGCATGCAAAGAGGGTGGACAACTGAGTATACGGCTGGCTTTCTCAAGCAGGAGGAAGACAAAAGTTTCTGACTACACTGAACTCCAGTTCCAGGTGAGACTCTGGGCACCCAGACTCATTCGGGGAGAAACTGGACTATCTGGCAGTGGGTCGAACTCAAGAGCGGCTTTCTCTTAGAGATGCTTGCAGCTATTATCACAGTACACAGAAACACAGAGGTCTATTAGGGCAAAGCTGACGGGAAACCAATGCTGTTTGCTCCACTCTGAGACTCTGTCCCATCCAAGGTGAGCACAGAGGCTTCTGCAAGTCTTGTCTCATAAGGGTGTCTCCAGCACAGAAGTTCACCTATCATAGACACAGGTCAATTTCTGACCTGGAGGTCAATTTCTTCCAGTGATACCAACAATAATCAAAGCTTAACTACAAGGCTGTGCACACAGCCCACAAAGGGGTGCACCAAGAGTTTCCACCACAGGTAACTGGGGAGGCTGAGCCACTGGGCCCTAAAGACATCTAGCACACAAAGACACTCTATTAACTCAGGGAAACAGCCAAAATGTGGAGACAAAGAAACAGATCACAAATGAAAGAAATGGAGGAAAGGAAATGACTGGACATAGAGTTAAAAATCATGGTTATAAGGTTTTTCAAGAATTTTCTAGAAAGGCCAATAAATTTAGCGAGACCCTCGAGGATATGAAAAAGGACCAACTAGAAATTAAGCATACACTGACTGAAATAGAAAATATTATACAGAGATCTAACAGCAGACTAGAGAATTGCGAGAATCAAGTCAAAGATTTAAAATGCAAAGGAGCAAAAAAAAAAAAACAAAAACAACAAAAAAAAACACTCAACTGGAAAAGTAAAAAGAATCCAAAAATATGAAAATAGTGTAAGGAGCCCCTGGGACAACTTCAAGCTTACCAACATCAGAATTATGGGGGTGCCAGAAGAAAAGAGAGAGCAAGATACAGAAAACCTATTTGAAGAAATCATGACTGAAAACTTCGCCCATCTGGTGAATGAAATAGTGTTATAAGTCCTAGAAGTGCAGAGAACCCCAAACAAAAGGAATCCAAAGAGGACCACACCAAAACAAATCATAATTAAAATGCCAAGAGCAAAAGACAAAGAGAGAATATTAAAAGCAGCATGAGAAAAACAGTTAGTTACCTACAAGGGAGCACTCATAACACTGTCAGCTGATTTCTCAACAGAAACTATGCAGGCCAGACGAGAGTGGCAAGTAATATTCAAAGTGACGAACAGCAAGAACCTACAACCAAGATTACTCTGCCCAACAAAGCTATCATTCAGAATTGAAGGGCAGAAAAAGAGCTTCACAGATAAGAAAAAGCTAAAGGAGTTCATCACCACCAAACTAGCATTATATGAAATGCTGAAAGGTATTTTTTAAGAAGAAGAAGAAGAAAAAGGTAAAGATAAAAATTATGAACAAGTACATATCTATCAACAAATGAATCAAAAAATCAAGTGAATAAAAAAATCTGATGAACAGAATAAACTGGTGAATATAATAGAATCAGGGGCATAGAAAGGGAGTGGACTGACAATTCTCTGGGGGAAAGGAGTGTGGGGTATGCAGGAAGAGACTGGACAAAAATCATACACTATGGATGAGGACAGTGGGGGGAGGGTAAGGGAGTGGGGTGGGGAGGGAGCCAGTTGGAGTGGAGCTATGGGGGGGAAAAGAGGAACAATTGTAATAATCTGAACAATAAAGATTTATTAAATTTAAATAAATAAAAGGAGCGTTTTGGAAGGACCTGGGCAGGTCTTCATGCAGCACTCGTTTGTAAGTTAGAAGGGCTGTGGTGTCAACACCATGGCCACAGCAGGGACTTCCATGTTGTTACTTCTCCTGAGCATGAGGCATTTCCTTGTTCAGAGAGTATATAGGGTGATGATTTTGAGTCATTTTTCTTTAAAACAAACAATTTTAATTACTACTTTTTATTATCATTCCCTTTTAGTTCTTTTATGTCCTAAAATATCCTAGGTCATTTTTCTAGTCATCTGTGGACTAATCTGAATGTTTCAAATTCTTTCAAATTAGGAAAGATGTTGGTGATTTGCCACCCCCAGTAAATACTTTTATTCCTACGGTCATACACAACTGCCAGACAAATTCTATCAAGATCATATAGTTGACATTTGTCTTTCCTTTTCCAATGCTGACTAGTGATCATAGTGACAAAAACCTTTGCTGTATATTACCATGGACTGTTAGGTAACTATCTAAAAGTTTATATAAATTGCAGATTCTATTTTTGAATGAATAAGCCTTGTCTTCTCACTCTAGTTCAGGATGTGAGTGATATGATTTCCTTATAATGTAGCAGGTTCTCGGTATAAATAAGTAATTTTGTAAAGGAGACAATTGAAGTACATATCATAGTCATTAGTACTCATTGAATAGTCACAAATTTAGAGTTATAAGTTTGTAATTTTATGATATAGCTTCATTAAATTGTGATGTTATTATTTCTTGAATATACCTGCTTTTATTAGGTAGCTAACCATAGGAAAGTACATCATGATTTCATAGTTTGAAAGATAACAATATTTAAAAGATGAAACCACTTTCATGTATTTAGAAAGTATGGTAGCAAGAACATTAGTCATAACCTCCCCAAACTTGTGTGTTTGTTTATGCTTTGGAAATACTTCCTGTTGCTATTCATCGCCTCCTTATCAGCTGGTACTACGGAGAGCATGCAATGCCATCCATTTATTTCCAAGACATTGAGGAAACCAACATGACATACCAGGGAAGCTTTGATTTGCCACCTGTTGCACTCGGGGAATGGTTGGAAATTTAATGAGCATTCAAATGCCTTCCACACAGCTCTCAGGAAATGAGCAAAGTACCTAAATACAGACAGCAGACTCATCTATCTATCACCTCAGGGTCCCACTCAGAGAAAAGTGCTACTACCTTAGGCATACATAATAAAAGTCACTAAAGAACAGGCATAACTTAATTTCAAATTACTCTTCAGCTTCCTGCACAAGTATTGGAAAGTCCTCTCACCATGTGGAAGACATTTGGAATTCCTATTTCATGCATTCATGGTTCATATAGTGTCAAGATGTTCAACTGGG